TTAAATAAAGTCAGCTTTATTTAGTTAAATTCAATAAGAATTTAAAAAAATATTTACTATGTTCAGGGTGCTGTGTTGGATGCTAGGGCTACAAAGACTAAAATAAAAAAGATAGCCCCTTCCCCCAAGGAGTTTTATAGTCATTTTCTATTTTATAGATTTTTCTAAAAATTAATTTTATGTATGTTTTTTGATGCAACATATTCATCCTAGGAAATACAAAAACTTTCCCACAAATTACATTCTCTAAAATGGTTTAACAAAATTCCCTAAAAGAGCAATTGCATCTGGTAGTAGATGTCACTTTTCACTTTTGTTGTTATTTTGTTTTATTTGTTATCAGAAGGGAGAGATCTGTGTTTCACATATTTTAAACCAAGTCTGTCTAAAGATTTCTAAAAATTAGATGTATAAAAAGGCAAAATGAACTTTAAAAAGTAGAATGTAAGCATAGCTATACGATAATTTAATGAAACTATAGATCATTGAAATGTTAATATGGATTTAGGTCTGTGTTCCATAACATTCTTTGGGAGAATAGCTCTAGTGGAGTAAGAAGTAAATAAGGAATTAAATAGAAGCAATTGAAAATAGTTATTGGATTGACTGCAAATGTTTTAAACATAAAATTTTTTTGCAGATTTACGGGGCAAAGTAGAATTATCCAAAGGAAATAATTAATAAACAGATACAGTATTCTTTTTCCTTGCTTTGACAAAAATAAAATAGATTGTTTTGAGGAAAGAACAGATTTTGAGTTTATAGTCCTATCATCTTTTTTTGTTAATGTTACATCTCTAAGTAAGGTAAACATATTGCTATGTTTGAGAATGCTTTTAACCTCTATTTTGACATTTATGCAGTCATGAACCATAAAAGAGACAGCTACTTGCAAGTCATTGAAATGTTCTCTTTAATTTCCTTAGTTTTTGTTCCTCAAAATTGCTCTCTTAAACTCCATTTCTAACTTGCAGATGATTTGGAGGGGTAAAAACCCTTTCCTACTTTTCCACTGATCTGACCTCGACTTGAACCTCTATTTCTAGATGTGAACAAATAGTTTGATCATTGCCTAATAATCTTGCTCCATAGCTGCTAGAAAATGTTACATATCTGTTTCTAAGTATTTCATTACCACATTGTTTTGCATAGAGCTTCATAATGCTTCATGTGAAGTAATAGTATAATTAGTTACAGTCTTAGGCAATATAGTAATTACTGATTAAAATATAATTATAGCATTATAAAACACAGTTACAGAGACTATATTACTGTATTGAAGCTTGGCTAGAGTTTTATAGGAAGAAGAAAGCAATTAGCACAGTACGTTGCAGACATTTAGTCAATAGCCTCCTTTCTTCTCTACATCTCAAAGCTCTTTGATGCTATTCCCGGTCTCTTCCCCTTTATTCTAATCTCTGATGAAGTGGTGATCTTTCTTGCCAAAGCCCTCTACTCTACATAGTACCCTTGATCCTATTCTCTCCTTTTTTCTCTGATGGATTACTTTTGTTATCAAATACTCTCTTCCTAACCTTTTATCTTTCCCTTTCTACTGGTTTCTTCCCTGCTGCTTACAAACATGTCTAGGTCTCCCTTATCCTTAAAAAACCTTCATTTAACCATACCTTCCCCTCAAGCTAATATCCTAAATCTCTCTTCCCCTCCCAGGCCAAAATCCCTGAAAAAGCTGTCAGTTTTTATTTCTTTTACTGCTTCTCCTACTGCCTTCACTTCTCTTTTTGCTCCTCAACACTTTACAGTTTGGCTTCTGACCTGACCACTTGATTAAATCTGCTTCCTCCAAAGTTACCAATGATTTTTTAATTGTCAAATCTTGTGGTCTTTCAATCTACATCCTTCTTGACATCTCTGTAGCATTTGACACTGTTGACCACTCTGCCCTCCTAGATATTCTTTCCTCTCTGGATTTTTGTGATGCTTTTCTCTCTCAGTTCTCTTTCTACATGTCTGACCATTCATTCTCATTCTTTTTTTTTTTTGCTGGATCATGATCCATATTCTTTTTAAAAGTGTATGACTAGGTTATGAAAAACTTGCAATGTAAAACATTATCTTAGATCTTGGAGATAATAGGGAATGACTAGAATTTATTGAATAGTAAGGTAATATGGTCAGACCTACACTTGCAAAAAATCACTTTGGCATTGGCTAAAGGATAAATTGGAGTGGGGGAAGAGGAGACAGGGAGAGTAGATAGAGAATTAGTACAGCATTGCAGGGAAGAAATGATCAGGGCCTAAACTGGAGTGGTAGTTGTGTGAAGGGAAAGAGGAGGTGTTGTGAAGGTGGAAATGACAGGTTGTCAACAGATTAGATAATTGATTAGTTGGGGAGTGAGAGAGGTCATTAGTTTTTATATAGCTTTAAGCCATCAACTGAAAGTTTTAGGTTACAACACATTGTTACAAGTAAACCCTTAATGGTAAACGTGTGACATTGAAAACTTGTAAGAGGTGTTGAAAAAGTACATTCTGCATTTTGGCACGAGTTGACCAGAAACAGCTTCTATTTATCATTATTCAAAATCCAAGCATTCCTGATTTAGGTAACTAAATGTCTTTATCTGGCAGAGACCACTCATAACCTACAGTGTGTCTTTCTAATCCAAGTTGAGAGAACATTTGTAGGAATTTTGAACAAGGAAAATTACTCCTTATCTTTATCTGTTCTCCACCACTCAGGGGAGGAGTCCTTCTTGTATCTGATCTGGAGAGGGGAACAAGACTGTTTCAGAATTGATCATTGAAGAAAGACTGATGTTTTCCAAAGGCTTCAGACTAGGATGATTTTAAAATGCTTTCTTAATTTTTCTAAAAGAGAGCAAGGAGATTTTTTGGCTTCCACAAAGAGAATTAGAATAAAGTACCGAGTTTGGAGCTCTTTAAGCCTTGAAGCAGGTAGGTAGTGCAGTAGATAGAGTGTTGGGGTTGAAGTCAGGAAAACTTAACTTCATGAGTTCAAATATGACCTCAGACAGTTACTAGCTATGTGACCCTGGACAAGTCACTTAACCTTATTTCCCTTAGTTCCTCATCTGTAAAATGAGCTGGAGAAGGAAATAGCAAACCACTGCAGTATCTCTGCCAAGAAAACCCCAAATGGGGTCATGAAGAGTTGGACACCACTGAAAAATGACATAACAACAAGCCTTGAAGAAATGCTAATATTCTGAGTAGCCAGTGGTTGAGGTGAAACCTTAGAGTTAGTGTAACACTGATGAGTATAGGTATCACTGTGGAGGCCTCTCTGGGCCAGTCAGTACTTAGTACTTTCTGCTTCCTTCTTCCTGCTGGATTGGGGCTGAACTGAATCCTTCCCATGCCTTTCCTGTTTCTTCTTTGATAGGTGGTTTAGAATGTTATCTTTTCTCTGCTCACCACTTTCTACTCCCTGTCCTCCTTTTCTCAGAAAATTTACCAGTGACACCCTGTAACAACCATTAAGCTTGCTTTTTAGCCAGAAGCTATGTAGTAGCTGATTAGGTCCATAAGGTTCTTTCTTTCCCTCCAACCCCATTCTGTTTTATTGAATTTATATCAGACAAAAAGTAATATCACAATAGTTCAGAGACCCCAATTAGTAAAATTCCTAATATTAAATTAGATTTGGCTCTCTTCACTAATTTAAATTTTTGCTTATCTTTAGCTAACCCCTGGTTTCTTTATAAATGAGGCAAAAATCAGGATACAGGAAATGTTTAGGTAAAAGAAATGAATAGACTATATTACAGTTTTTGTTACTGGATAGATAGAGAGGGAAAGTTGGGGAAAGAGTAGACCTTTATGTGGAATTTCCTCAGTCCTTAAAGAGAACTGAGTTATCTGTTTAAAAACTTTCAAAAGATTTTAGCACAAGTCTTATGGTGCAAGGTATGTGAAGGGGGCTGATGGCTCTCTTAAATATCTTTCTCTTCCTTGTGTAGGTCAGCCCAACCTTTCACTTTCTTGCTTTCTCTTTTTGCGTGTTGCATCTGTGCCACCAATTCTTTCTGGTTCAGCTTGTTAAGTTCTGGTGAGACTGGGGATACTGTCATTCACTGTTGTAACTGTTCGGCTCTTGAAGTCCTTACTCCTTTCAGTTGGTATCCTGTGTGTGTGTTTGTGTATGTCTCTTTCAGAACTCCTGGGCGTGACTCAAGTCCACCTTTTAGCACAAATATTGAAATGGTCCTAGGGTTGAGAAGGGAATGTTTGTCCCTCTGAACTCTAAACTCCAGGATGCCAGTCAGCTTTCAAATCCCTGAAGATTAGTGGACTAATTCTTTGGTAATGGTACAACTGCTGGCAATCAGAATTCTGCTAGTGTAAGACACTATCAGGTATATTTTCGAAATTATGGCTATTAGAAAAAAACTTTGCAAATTTATAAATTAACTTTACATTTTGTGTTTAATCAACTTTACAGCAAAAAAAACCTTATACATATATAGATATCAGTGACAGCTTATCATTAACACTATAATTTCTCCCTTTCCTTATGATTATGTTCAGATTTTTTACAGTGTGTGTATATATGTAAGTATACATATATGTGTATGTGTGCATATGTACATATATATAATATAGTACTCTTAGCTCTACTTTTCTCACTTTGCATTATTTCATTTAAACTTTCCTGTATTTCTCTATATTCATTACATTTTTGATTCTTTATGGTAGTCAGACCAGAATCTGTTTAGCTATTCATTAACCTAGGTTTCCTGATTCCCCTTGCTATTTGCACTGTATCGCATGATGTTGATGAAAATAAAGAGGACTGTTAAACAAATCTTATCTAATATTGAATATTTAACAGTTAATATCTTAAACTCTTCTTAAAGAGTTTTAAATAAATAAATTAAATAAATAACTTAAATAAATAAAGATATTCTTAAATATCTTAAAGCTTCCTGAAAGGAGGGTTTATTTTATTAACAGTGACTATATATTTTTTATGAAATTCTTCAAATAAAAGTTGGCTATCTCACTTTCTTATAGGTATCCTCATGGGAGCAGTTATAAAAATCATAGAATCTCAGAAGCTGGCAAATTGGAAGGTAATGTTTATAATTATTTTTTATGTAGTTTGAGTCACTGTCTTGCCCTTAGTTATTTTGTTTTTAAAGGTAATACTGGTTGTATTCTGGTGATTATTATTCTTTTACTACTATATTCTGCTAGTCAAAATATTTATAATATTCTGTTGATTTTGGTTACATGCCCTTAAGCTTCATTTTTATATTGATATCTTCGGATCTGAGCAGCTAAAAATTGTAGTTCCAGTGCTGCCTCAAGTAAATGAATATTAGATGAGTAACACTAGGTTTAAAAACCTCTTTAACATGGACTTATTCAAAATGTTGAGGAATAAGTACCTTATGAATATTCAACCATCAACTTCTTATATACCTCTAAGTTCATAGGATCATAGCTTAGGGATGCCAAAGTTCTACTTTTTCATACACATATGTGCATTCCTATATACTTATTCATTCACCAAATATTTATAAGTACATGGGATGTTTATGACATTGTGCTAGGAATTAGGGGAGAGAAATAAGACATGCTCTATGCTTTCAAGGAGCTTCACAATCCAGGAGAAAGTATATACACACAATCTTGTTATATAGCAGTATTTGAAAATGATCTAGATTTTTTCATTTGTTTGTTTTTCACTAGACCTATGATTTCATCCACATGGGGAGTAAGCTCTACACATTAAAACTAGTGTTCTGAATCTGAGAGTCTTAGAGAGCTTAGTTTTATGGCCTACATTATAGGAATGGCTAGGGTTATAGTGCATTTAGGAAGGATTGGCAAGAATATATTTATCTAGAGTCTTGCAGTCTAATCCAAAGGGCTTTAAACTGAAAAGAAAGGAGAAGTGCCCACATCTATTTATTCACCAAGTTGGAGCACATAGGGAGTTAGAAGAAGAGAGTAGGGTTGAGTTACATCTATCATGTACCTCTCTGTGCCTGGCCCTGCGGACACAAATGCAAAGACTGAAGCAGACTTTACTGTGAAGGAGTTTACATTTTTAACAGATAGCAGTGAGGGCGCATATTAACAATAGACAAATCTCCAAGAAAGAAGGTCTATATGACATCATATCTAAATACAAATCACAAAATACAGTCAACAATCAAGGTGAATTAGAGACCTCATTGCAAGGAGACAAATTTACCTATTAGGATAGAATCCATTGTATGTTAAGAAGATATACTCATATGAAAAAATCTAGGAACTGGGGTTGGGATGCATAGTGAAGAAAAACAGAGGTAGAAATTGGAAAGGATGTTATCATCAGAGTATACTACAGTCTACTTGGACAGAAAGATGAGAAATATGGATAAACCAATCATATGCCTGGCACAGAGGCATGATATGGGAAATGATGAGGAGACTTCAATTTATATGGAAATTGGTTGGCATTTTTTTTCTCTGCCAAAAGCATAGCATGTAATAATTTCTTGCCTCACTTTCATGATAATTTCATCCTTCAAAAACAGGAAGAATCAATGGAGGGAGCTGCTATTCTAGACCTAATTCTGACCAAAAAGAAGGAACTGGTTCCTGGGGTGAAATAATGGGAACCTTGTGGGGAAGTAACTACTCCTTCTTAGAACTTACGATAGAGAGAAAAGGAAAGCCAAATCTAGTCTGACATATAACCTGTGTATTTTGGAAGAGTAGTTTTCAGAAGATTCAAAGAAAGAAAATGTAGAATACAGTGGACTAAAAATTAATTCTACAGGATAAGGCATCTCAGGAGGGATATGAAACTCAAGAATGAAATTCTAGATTCAAAGAGGAATAATTCTGATGAGGAAAAGGGGAAAATCTATAAAGAGGCTTAAATGGATGCATAGGAAACTTACTGAACAATTTAGATTTTTAAAGATTTGAAGGTGATGGCAAGTAGTTGTTCAGTCATTTAAGTTGTGTCCAGCTCTTTGTGACCCCTTTTGGGGTTTTCTTGGCAAAGATCCTGGTGTGGTTTGCCATTTCCTTCTCCAGCTTATTTTACAGATGAAGAAATTGAGACAAACAGGGTTAAGTGACTTGCCCAGGGTCACACAGCTAGTAAATGTCTGAGGCACTATTTGAACTCAAGTTTTCCTGACTTCAGACCCAGCATTGTCTCCCTAGCTGCTACCTAGCTGCTCTCAGAGGGCAAGTAACAAAGTACATGTAGTAGTGTGTCCCAATACCATAAGAATAGAATTAGAAGCAATCCATCTTCCATAGAGCTGCCAAAATTCCTGAAGCCCATGTCTTATTATTTCACTCACCTCAGTATATTCTGGTGGCTCTTTATTGCCTCAAGGACCAAATAGAAACTTCTCTGTTTGACATTTAAAGCTCTTTACAGCTTGTTGCCAACCTGCCTTTACCAACTTATCATATATTACTCCCCTTCACATACAACATTTCATTTTCTTTCTTTATGCTTTTGCACAAGAAGTCTCCCAATCTGGAATGTATTCGCTCCTCTACTCTGACTCCTAGAATCCCCTAGCTTCCCTCAAAACTTATCTCAAGTGCTACTTCCCAAATCCTTTTTTTTTCCTGATCCTCCAAGTGCTAATTCTTTCCTTTGAAATTACCTTGTATTTATTTTATAATAGTAACAATGGCTAATATTTACGTAGCATTTTAAGGTTTGCAAAGTGGATGTGTGTGCACATGTGGATATGTATGCACATGTGCTGAAGCATGTGTATGTGTGTGTGTGTGTGTGTGTGTGTGTGTGTGTGTGTATGTTATATAATGAGGTGAGCCTAAGGAGGAAAGTTAAGGACAACAAAAAGGGTCTTTTGAGCAATATAATGTAAGAGGCTGACCAAAGAAAGGATAGGATCACTTTTTCATGCGTAACCAATGATTGATAAATTATAATTGTTTAGTTCTTAATTTTGCATCTGTTTTCTCAACAAGGACAATGATCTTTGGAGTTAAAAAGATAGAACAAAATTGGGCAATAGAAATTGATACCCAAGATAATTAAGGAGATAGTAGGAAAGTAAAGTACCTAACAGTCCTTGATGAGTTCAAGTTAGTAACCTAGACTACTTGTGTCTCAGGCTACAGAAAGAATTGACAGTGATTGCTGAACCATTCTCTATGAGCTTTGAAAAATTGAAAAAAAAATGTGTTTGCTCCTTATTTCTCACTTGACTGCGCTATTTGGGACTTCTCAGACTGACTTCTCCACCAGGGCACCACATTGGGTACCTTTTCAGCTTTTTGTGTTTTGTTTTCCCCCATTGGATTGGTTAGCTGAATATGTCTGAGACCTTATAATTTCTAAAACTACTGAACCTACTTCTCCTAACCTCTCCCCACTCCGTTTTTGGAAGGCTGGGGTAGCCCTGTGCTTATTCTGCAGGCAACCTTGTGATTAAGAACCTGCCTCCTAAATCTGATTGAACTCTGAACCAGATCAGCCTTGTGGTATAAGATGGAGGAAAGGGAGTTAGCTCTCTTGGAGCGTGAAACCCTGAGGAGAAAAATACAGAGGAAGGAGAAGCCTAGATAGGATTGGACCGATGACTTATGAAGTTCCTTCCGGTCCTAGATCTGTGTTTGAGTCTGTGATTCTTTTTTTTTTTTTCTTGCTAGGCAATGGGATTAAGTGACTTGCCCAGGGTCACACAGCTAGTAAGTGTGATTCTTAATACCATGTTGATTATAGCTATATAGTGCTGTACAGGACGAAATGGGCAACCAGAAGTAACTTAACCTGGCAGCAGTGTCATAAATAATCACTATCACACCTTGAAAGTAATACATCTTGTCCAATCTTGGTGCTCTAAGAGAACAGAAAACAGACAGCAAGGCCTGGGAAGTGGGTCCAACAGTGCTAGGTCTTCAGAACAGAAAGACTTGGTGGTAAGAAGTAATGTTTAAGCAAGGGCATTTAGGGTTAGCAAAAAAAAAAAATCAGTAGTGTGATTGATAAAGACAAATAAAGGCTGAGGGAGGAGGAGCAATGAGTACAAATTGATTGATTTATTGATACTTTGTGAGTTCCTCCCAGAACTTCCAGGTAAGGAAGGGCTCAGACAAGCTATCCTTCATTCTCTGGACTTTGCTACCATGACCTCACACAAATATGTTTCCCCCACCCCTTTCTAGCATCCTTTTATGTGTTGTCTTCACTCATTAGAAAGTAAACTTCTTGAAGGCAGGAACTATCTTTTTGCTTGTGTTTGTATCCACAGCACTTAGCACGATGTCTGGCACATAGTAGGCATTTACTAAATGTTGATTCATCAATTCATTAAAAGAAAGAGTCACTTCATCAGACAAATATATCATACTGTGTCAAAATCTCTTGAGGATGATTAAGGTAATGCAATGGATTCTTCAAGGCCCCCTGAAACAAAAAGAGAGTAATTCTAAGAACTTCCAGAATGGTTCAGAAGAGAAATTATAAATTAGTGAAAATATCCAAGAAATAGACACATATCAGTACTCTTAAGGAAAAAAATTAGCAAAATGAAACAGAAAATACAGAATATAGAACTGAGAACAAAAGATAAGAGACAATTTACTGAGTTGTAGATTCTCTGAAAAGTGGTTTGCCGAATTATAGTGCAAAACTACAGGAGGAAAAATGATAAACAAAACCCACAAAAATCAGATTAGAAAGATCCATGAAAATTTCACCCCTCAGCTATTTTTTTATTTAAAGATAAGATGTGAAAGGTTGATTTTAGGGTATTCTCTTTCAGGAAAACATGAAACAAAAAACCTAAAGAACATACTTCAAGAAATTTTATAGAAGAACTGCTTAGAAATACTAGAAACAGACAGCTATTCAAATTATGAGAAGCTACGAAACACCAACAGAAAGAAACTTCTAGTTTTACTTACCAAGAATTATCTTAGTCAAGTGTTGGGGCTGCAGTATCAGAGAACACATTTTGCAACATACAGAGAACAAAGGAAAATAAACCTTCATATTTCAAAGAGAGCTAATCAGAATAGCATAGAGTTACTCAACACTTAGACTGAATCAAAGGAATAATTGAAATGTAGTGTTCCAAAG